TCAGCAGTGCTGGGGTCCCACCAGGATCCGTCACACCACCCCTGTGTGCTGTGGACCAGCCATGTCCTGCCTTGGTTGGTCCTTGAACCCTCATGTGCCTCTTAGGAGCTGGTTGTTCACATTGGCGCTCGGGCCAGCACTCACTAAGCATCCTGGTGAGCCAAGGAGACCTCTTCCATTCCCGAGGGAGACAATAATGGGACTTTGTTTCATCCCCTGTCACATTCTTCAGGCACTTCCAGGGTTTTATTTTACCTTGTGGTGCCAACCGGTGATGCCAGCAACTCGTTACCTTCACTGGCATGTTGAATAATTACAGAGTGGGGAAGAATATTAAAATAGCACCTGGAGGACTGAATATGCCAAAAATATCCATGCTGGCCATGTCCTGGTCGACTGGATCCTTGGGATGAAGTGACTTTGTCTTCAATGGAGTCCTTGGCAACCTGGGACCAGGGGATATGTCGTTCCAGTGTGAAAAAGAGAGATATCCTTGAGCTCTTGATCAGATATTAAAATTAGGAAAATTTCGCATACTCCCAACTCTTCCTTTGTTAGACTTGTTAAAGCCTTGGAAAATATTTTCATGAATTAAGAAGCACCATTAAATGTTGAATCTAATTAGGAGAGACTTGGCTGTCGAGTTCTTCAAATAGTAAAGTCAATATCACACAGTGTAATTGTGGTAATTCCCGGTGGTGCCGCAGCTGGTGACGGCCCTGTCTAGTGTGCAGGTAATTCCAAGGATGGAGGAACAAATTTCCCTACCATGGAATGTCCCATATTTCAATGGTTCCCATCGGAATCTTTGCATTAGCAAAGAGTAGCGTTTCCTTACGTGTACCACAGCAGTTACTGGAACTTGGAAGGCTTCCTCCAGGCTGAAACCCTGGAGCATCTTCTGGAACGTGACCTTGGGACCAGGCCATGCTGGAGAGCTGTGCTCTCCATGGGGCTCCCAGAGAGCTTGGGCCAAGATGCTTAACCCCTCTCCAGGCTATTTCCCCATCATCATCATCATCCTGTTGGTGCTGTTTCCCTTCCTGGTGGGCTGCTCATCTCAAAAGAAAAATCCCTAACAAGATTGATTTTTTTTAGGGACAAATCCCTAACAGGATTTTTTTTTAATTATTTTTTTGGGGGGGGACACAAATCCCTAACAAGATCTGCAGCTGCAGGGGCTCCTTTTGCTTCTGCTGTGCAAAGAAAGGCCTCCTGTCCTGGGGGCAATGTTTGCTTCTGTCACACAGAAAAGCCCCTTCCTCAATTAAACGGGGGGGG